TCCACCATGTACAGCAAACCCACAGCATGCCACGGGCTGAGACGACGCCAGAGGTCACCCGACAGAGCCGGCTTCATAACACGGAATAATTCAGAAAGGAGAGCCTGGAAGCGGCTTCTGCAGGAGCGACAGTGGCCTTCAGGCTGCAGCAGAGATCTGTCTTACATTTACACCCATTTCTATAGACATTCGTTGCTAAGGGATTCAGCAGATGCCCTCTTTGCTGGTGTAGAGAACCATCTGGAAGCCATGAAGCAGGGCTGGCGTTCTGGCCATTGAGCTCTCCCCGCCACTCCGAGTCCATGCCTTCTGGAGTCAACAGGCGCTTGCTGCTGGGAGTTATGGTACCCAGCGACTCATACAAACAAAACTGGTTCCTTTTGATGATACCGCCCCCCAGTGAGAAGCGGTGAAGTGTTTCGTTTTTCTGGATTCACAGGAGAGTGTATGCGTGTCCTACTGGGACGGGGCCGCGGCGCCCCCTGCAGGACAGCAGAGGATGGAGGCAGGGGTGTTACTCCAGCTCATGGTAGCTCCCAGTCGCCCCCAGGTGGCCTCTCTGGTACCGCACACAGAAAGCCCCCATAATCCTTCAGCGCTGCTGGTGCCGCTGAGCTTCCTTTAATGTGATTATAAAGCAGAATTACTATTAGAGAATGGAGGGAAACGCTCCGCGGCGAGGGCCATGGCGGCGAGGAATGGCCTCCACGCGGATCAGCGGGTTTGCAGGGCCTGCCAGGCCGCGTCTGCGTTCAGGGAAGACGGCAGGAACCCGGCGACACCCCCTCCAAAGCCCACCTCCATCCCACCCCCCACCCTTTTTTCTCTAGCTAAATTTAGACGGGAAACGGAAGCAGTGATTTGCTGCCCAAATCTTACTTTGTTGCTCCTCTTCAGAAGAGACGTAACTGTCTGTCGCCAAGACATGCAGACCTGAAGTGTTTCTTTCAATGCTGCCATGGTAACCGCTAACGCTCACGCGCTCAGGCCGCGCTCATCCTCATCCTCAGATCGCGTGCGGTTTATATCGCCGACGCGTCGTTGGAATCTGGGCTCAGGTTTCAGCTCCACATGGGAGCGACACACCACGGCATTTCCACGGCAGCCTAAACGCGTGCCTGAAGCGGGGCGAGGCGCATGTGCACGACAGGTTCGGGGGGGGAGCCCAGCCCACTTCCCGGTCAGAGGGTGTGGCCAAGAGATTACTGAGAAATGTCAGGTGCGGAACGGATTGACAGCCCCGACTATCATTCCTAACCTTGCATTAAGGTAGCCTTGATTTATTTAGAGAATCTTCCTCCTCCCATCCACAGCAGCAGATAGGCTAAGTGCCGGAATGTCCAAACGAGTCGAGACTCACAGAATTTGGGTGCCAAACGACAGCATAAGATGAAAGTGGCACAGAACTCAGGAACTGAGGTGCCGTTGGTGGCGTTTGGAGCCGCTATGTACCCCCCCCCCCCCCGCCCCCACCAGCTTCGCTAAGCGGGAGGCTGAGGTCATATGGGCGGAGTGTGTCATGCGTTCGAGGTACCGGCTCTTAGACCTCCAACAGACACGCAGAGCGCCATCCGCGTGCCGCCCCGCGTCGCTCGCTGCTGACTGACGGCGGGGGGGCACCCCTTCGCTCCGGCCTTGACCCGCTTTCCGTACTCCTGTCTCTCCAAACCACGCCAAATTCCAGGAATGTGTGGGCTTGTCCTTCCCAATTACCGGCAGTGTTTGAACACCGTGGAAGCTGCTCCCATCGCAGAGGACCTCCTGCATAGGTCAAACTCACTCCTGCGCCTTTTACAAACATGACAGATCATCAGCCCAGAGACCAGCACAGACGCACTACTTTTGGAATAATTTGCTCATCCAAAGCCATGTTATGTATTGCTTATCCAGTATTTTTTGTAGTTTAGAGTGCAGTGCAGTCTACAGGGCATAAACGAGCACAAAGCAAACGCCAGGTTCTTCTTGACAGTATGTTCCTAGCAGGGTGTTTTTATTCAAAGCAGCCCACATGTTTGACAGTTATGGATTTTACTATTTCTGTAGCTGGATATTTGCTGTAGTTACCATCGTGACGTTCTTGGAATAACAGCAGCATCCGTGTGGGTTTTTAACTAGTGATTTCCTGCACGAGTTTTGTACTTTGAGCACTGCACCACCTAGGGAAACGTCTTTGGCGAAATGTGCTAGCAGACAGATCTGGGATGTAGGGGCTCTGAGAGACCAACAAGGATGCAGGTACAGCTGAGATAAAGCCTCCCAACATCAGTCCCCCACTCACCACTCACGCACCCAGGGGGGCTAGAGAACCTACGAGTTGAAACCAGATAGCTTCTCACCCCGTGGAAACATATATGCATGTGCAGATCATGGATGAGAGGGGCTGTCAACAGGGGGGTGGGGTGGGGGGGCGGACTGTGTCCTGATGAAACCCCAGCTGGATCCCTGGCCCTACCGTCCGCCTCCAGTCTCTCATGGATCTTGTGTCAAAACAGGGGTTTCGTTACATAGATTGAATTGAATCACCACCCCCAACCCCCATAGTTCCTGTGAAGGACTATATGTCCAAATAGAACCAGCACAGCCCAACGAATGAAGAGGCCAGGTGACCCAGCGGACCAGTGTCGTCTTTGAGCTCCAATGAGAAGTCGATATCTTATAACTCACATATTAATGGTAAATTTTTATCTGAATATTTTTCATTTAGAAACTCTTCAGTATGCCCAGTTTCCATTGCATTTATCCTAACATGTAACCCTAACATGTATATTAACTTGTTTCTACGGCACTGAAAGGCTTGTCAGAGCACATGAAGTAACTGTGAACTCCTTACCTTCTTCAGAAGGAATCACCACTTTCTTGTGTGAGCTGCGTGTGTCCTCTGCTGCGAGCGGTCAGGCTGGGGGGCCCCAGGGGTCGCGCCTGGGGATCGGCACCGCAGGACGTTGGGTCGGCCTCAGCCCAGATCGCTTCTGATGCTTCTCTAATGCTCCTTTAACTAAGTAATCCAGGCATCCGGCAGCAGAGACGCACACTGACTCAGCTTCTCTCTGTCTCTCTCCCTCCCTCTTGTGTCCCCTCCGCCCCCCTCCGCTCCCTTCACCCCCCCCCCCGATATTTATGGAAGCGTACAGGCAGGCTGGAGCAGAGTGACACAGACCAGAGGCCAGTCTACTGAGGAAATACACACTGATTCGATTATATGTAAGACAACATCTAGCATCATTTGTGCAGTGGAACTTGCCATATATAAATCTAAAAATACTTCATTATCGCTAACACTGCCTAACACTCTGAGTAAGGAAGAAGCCTGCTGTAGACCCAGGGTGTGGTGTTCTTTTTGAAGTTTTTTTTTCTATATTAAGAAATGACAGTAAACATACCTTGTGGACTTCTAACGTAAGAGGTTCATTCAAAGCCTTTTTGTTCTCTGTCTAAATGAATACACAGTAATTACAAGTGATTTTTTTTTTTATTGCAGCTGCGGTTTACTGAGTGCATGGGGAAATCATACTTTTCCTTGCTATTCTGTTTTATTCCAATAGGCGGAGCACAAGATAATACTCACCCACTTTTTAATACAGGTATAGCGATGTTATTGAAAGATACCTTTATTTTTAGGTTAACGCACGATTTTCGGCATTACATAGCATCAACATACATCTGTACCTCTTAAGCTGAATGCTTCCGAATGACAGTTAAGAAGAGCAAAGGAAATCACTGTACTTGCTTCAGCTATTTTTATGAACAATCTTTCGTCACAGCGATGGAGCTGATAACTGTTCTTTTGAACTCTCGGGGAAAAAATAAAAATAGGTTGAAATTGCTTTAATTACAGCCGAAGAACTCGGGGCGATCTGAAAAGTGGTCTCGCTGCGACTGCGCGTTAAATAACAGCGAGGAAGGTGCGTGTTTATTGAGAGAACAAGCTTCCATTCATTAAACGGGCGCAGCCTGTGACAGCGCGAGCCAGCGCGAGCCAATGGCCGGTGGCGTCCTTCCTCACCTAGCAACCGATGCCATAGCGACGGGCGGGCTGATGAACGCTTATGGGTTCCTTTCGATGTTACTAGCTAACTTGTTAAGTCAATAAACCAGTTTTGTTCAGACTCAGAGCAATTAATAATGGTTAAGCAGACCATTCAGATTTTTGCCCGCGTAAAACCTACAAATAAAGCTGCCTCCGTGAGTATGCCATTTTTAATACACAACCCCTTCCGCTTAGCGAATAGATTAGCGGCTAATTTGTTTCCGCACTGCGCAGGTTCCGGATGCTAATTCAGCTAGCTGATAACAGACCACTTCTTACAACTTGCAAAACTTTCGTTTATATTAGATAGATGTATACTGGCGTCGAATTTATCGTACTTAAATATACAGTAGTCTACTTCAAACATTTATTCAACAGTTAAAAGTGGTTAATTATGTTAAATTTACTCAAAAGCAATTGTCGCAGTTGTCGGCTCCGGCTAACTGAAGCCAGTAGACACATTTGAGTTTTTATTTAAGATTTCGCTGTAGTTTTATATATTCTGGAAATAATATAGGAAACACGTCAGGGTATATATGTGCAGACCTCAGACTGATTATGGCTGCTCTTTGGCGCACTTTGCAGATTTCCTCTGAGATACTGTGCACCCCATAAACCCCGTTGCGTTTGCCTGCATTTCAAAAATGCGGAGTTGACACACAGGATTACTGTAATAGGGCAAAGTACATCATATTAAGTCTTATTTCTGAGTATCACATTCTTTGCCTACTCTATAGTCCAAATGTAAAATGAAATTTTTATTAGACCAACTAACTTCTGAGTCACCCACAGGCCAGGCTTTTCTCATTTACAAAGCTGGGCATGAGCTGATGAATGTACGGACTGAGGCATACTCCACTAGCTGCACCTCCAGGCTCCAATGGCAGCTCTGTTAGGCACCAGTGCCTTCACCACTGCACCACCTGCAGTTTGAAGCCCAAACGGTGCTCCATCATCTGTTTCCTTTGACCATTCTTCATCTCTGTTTTGTCTAGTGGAAAGTTCCTTGCTGTTCCCTTTTTTTTCTTTTTGCAAATTTATTTCCAAGTTTATTTGTAGAAGTATTGCAGTGTTAGCAGTGGGACCACAGTTGTGGGCCTCAGCTGTGTAAGCTATGCACTCGTCACTAAAGGTTTTTCTTGCGCCTTTGAAAGTCGTCTTTGCGGTGGTAGGAACAAGGCCTGCTGGGACCCAGTAGTGGGAACCTTCTGGACCGTGGCCCAGAATCCCGCCTTTGGATATTACCACCCTGACCCCAGCCCACATTAGTGTTTATGGTTTGAGTCAACCTGCTAATGGAAGCACTATTGGATTACGCCGAGAGAGGCCGTGGCACACAGCGTGCTGTGTTGTGAATCTCGGGGGCCTTACGTAGCTGGGGGGAGCATGTGAAGCCCTCAGACGTTTGCCTTCTGCGCTCAAGTGGATTACTGCCTGTGTTTCAGCTGTCCACCACGGGGGCGCTAATCACATTTATCCAATTATTTGGACCTAATCCTTTGTTTGTCACAAGGCCTCCGAAGCTCTTAGGAGTGCTGTTGTTTTGCAATGTCGAAACATGTCTTCCGGCTGTAGGAGGTGGACAGGGTTCAGTGCCATGTCAGGGTCACGTTGCACCATGGGTCCAGGTTTCAAAAGGATGACTGTTGCCATTCATCTGTTTTGTCACCCTTCTAATGTTTGTGTCCCCAGGGGTGGTAGAAGATGTTCCAGCCAGCTCTGGCTTCCTTGCTTGTTGTTCTTGTGTGTGTAATAGTTGTGTGTTTTTGGGGGTGTGGGCTTATTGCAACTTGCAGATATACTCAGTGGATGAGGATGAACAAGATGGTTCCAGCCTGGAGTTCCTGGTGCCCCGTGACCTGGCCGATGGCTTCGTCAACAACAAGAAGGAGAGCTACAGCTTCAGGTGCGCTGAATGGAGAAGAAGTACTACAGTACCTCAGCACACAGCTCACTGCCTGCAAATATACTTCTGTGACATTGCTGGTCACCAGGGTCAAGCTAATCCCCTTAGATTAAATTTAGTACACCTAATATGGAGAAAATGAGGTGCATGTTCGAAATAATGTGGTGTGTTGTGTGAGTGTGTGTGTACTAGAGAGAAAGAGGTCTCTAGGGTAATTTAGGGGTCGTTTGAGTCTATTCGCTCTGCCTGAGTGTGCTATTGAACTCTCCAGTTAGCGCTCCAACATCTGGCTTGCTCTAGTTTATGGAGGCTGGAGTGCCATCAACTGGGCTGGGCCCCGCTATGGCCAGGATCTAAATATGAAATTCACAGTGTGACCCAGCCACGGACACAGAGAGCTCTTTCAACCGCCATCCTTTTATTGGGCCGAAGGAGGCAACCATGAAAATATGATTTTGAATTTGGAGCATGAAGACGGGGCTCTTTTTAGATGTCATGTGTCTCGAGGTTGGGGTGGGGCTTCCTTTGGGGAGAAAATGGCTAACCCTCCAAGCTCATGGAAGTATGAAGTGCTGCTTAAATACAGCTGAAGGTTTTCCTGGCTCCAATTAGTCAAGGCCAGTTTTTTTTTTCTATTTACAGAATGAGATTTCACATCTCCGGGTCAAAATAATTGATGCTTTCTCATTGCGAGTCCACTTATCTTTCTGGTCAAAATCGGGTGCGTTATGAACCCATCTTGCCTTCCAGGTTTCAGAAGGTGTTTGATCAGATGTCCAAGCAGGAGGAGATATTTGACAACATCGCCAAACCCGTCGTAGACAGGTGAGTGAGTTAGGCCGTTAGCTTCACTTAGCAGGGATAAGGCTGATGTCCTGTGGTGGTGAATGATGTTAGGCCCAGTGAAGCTGGCTGGACTCTCTACTCGAAAAGTGCACCGCATGTCACTGTGTTCCTGTATCTTGTCCACATGCTCTGGGTTCACCCTCAGTATGACCAAGAGTTCTTTTAATCCGCCCCTGCATAACATTCTTTTCTCTTCCCCAAGTCATTATGGGCCAAGCAGTCTGTTTGTTCTGTCAGAGGTACGCCAGGTTTCCACTAAAAGGTCTCCCATTACATATTTAAGGCATAGAGCCAGCATAATGTACATTAGGCACGACATAATATATATTATTACCGCCATTATTTTTTTGGCTGTCTTGTTTGGTGGTTTTCTGCTGCGTGCTTGCAGTAGGCTGGTCGCTTCTCAGTGCTGGCTTCTGGGTTAAGGCACAGGATTCGAGTCTCGGGTGGCAGTGGATAAACAGGAGGGTGCAGAACTATACTGCTCATTAACCGGGACATTGTCCATCGCGCCTTTTGTCAGCAGAACCGGCACGGGCCTGTCAAAGCCTCCGTGACAGACAACGACAGTGGAAAAAAAGGAAGATGCTGACAGAAAGCTTCTTTTATTTTGAGTAGCGCTTTGAAAATACATTACTCATTGTTGTTTCTTGACGTCCCTGATGCCCCACCCTTTGAGAAGCGTCTGGGCCTATAATTATCGTGATGCGGGGAAGGACGGGGATATTGTGATGGTGGTGGCTATTGCTGCAGAGGGCCAGAGTTTTCTAAGATCCAGCTGAATGTCCTTGTGCTGACCCCCAACCCGGAAGGTCGGAGCCCAGCTGTCACAGTGTGTCCTGGCTGAGAAAGGGGGCAAGCAGGCAGATGATAACCCTGGTGAATAATCGCCAGGGACAGTGGCACGGCAATAAGTCCCTTAGCCTCCCCCCCCCCCCCCCCCCCCCCCCCCCCCCCCCCCCCCCCCCCCACCTCCCCCAGCTCTTATCCTCTCCCCCTGCCCCTCCCCCCTTCCAATAGGACGGTCTTGTTTGTGTCAGATGAGGACACTGGCTCTCTGTGTTGATTCTGGGCACGGTTCTGAAACGAAAGGAACAAAAATATTACCGTTGTCTGGATGCGCTTTGGGCCGCAGGGCTGTTATTTTCCTCCTAGTGGGATTTGTGATATTTAGTGCCTTTTGTTGTCTATTTTCCACTTCGGCGTCCTCAGAGGAGTCCTGGTTGGCGGCTGTAACCCAGCACAGACACATTGTCGTTCTAGTGGGCTCAGTAAATGGAGATACTGGGTCCCACCCAGGAGCTCTGCAGTGGGACACTTTCTACAGGTGCTGCTAGTGAGAGCAGTGTTTACAAGTGTTTACACGGACAGAAGGGCAGAAACCAGAGCGAAACCATCCATAAATGTTTGCCTGAAGAGTTTCTGAGGCCCCTCCTGGCTGCTCCACGAGGGTCCTCTTTGAAACTTGCGGATTCTCTGGAGTGCCGAACATCTTGCTGTCCTCTGAGAGCCAGTGTGGAATTTGTGGTGACGGTTAAACCAGGGAGATTGTTTTTAACTCAAAGTCCACCAATACATTATTAAACATTATGCATTGGTTCATAACCACAGAAGACGCGAGTCCAAAAGGGCATGCATGGATTACATTCTTACGCTAGCCTGAGATGTTTGATGGAACAGCTTCTGTTTATGTTAGTTGGCCCGGGGATTCATTGGGGGATACGATTCTCTTTGACCACTACAGCAGCATCTGCACACCAGTTTTCACCCCACTGTTTTTCAAGAGGCGTATCGAACAGTTACTGGGAAAAGCATAAAAGTTTCAGTGGTAGCTGGAAACCTCAATTGTTTACTATCCTCTGCCTGCTGACGTGGGTCTGGGAGGCCAGCCACGCTGTAGAAACTCGGCAGGGTTTGCCTGGAAATTGACCCAATCAGTATATATCAGTATGCTATTAGACCTGGACCAGAACTGGATGTTACTTTTCTACCCACATAACTTAATCAATTATTCACTCAACCTGTAGGCCCTATGGCCCTCCTAGTGGCTTGGTGGAGGCAAAATGGGTTTTAGCAACATTAGCCTGTGACGGAGTCTGTTTGAGTTTGCCTGATGTCTGAGGTTATGGGTTTGATTGTTCCTTCCCGTTGAGATCACTGCAAAGAGGAGGCATTTTTTTGGAATTTCCTGTGATCAGATATGGCCCCCCTACTATTAGAGTGTGCCTCTTCCTCTAGTCTCCTTCTCCGTCCCCATCTCTGTTTTCAGTCCCAGTACCAGTTCATCAGCGGAACATTTCAGGAATCTGCTTGCATATCCATATTATCTTTCAGGAGATGATATCTAAACTGTAAACAAAATAATGGGTGAAACGGATGTACTGACTCCTCTTTAAAATGCGGAACTCCCCAAATTGCCTTATTTAGATGGTGACTGGTTCATAAGAAAGCAGCTCCTGTCTGGCTGGGGGGTCGGTTCTGTGAGTCACTGTGTGGTCAGTGTCTCCTACACCTCCATTTAAGATTTAAGATGGCACCGGGGATGCCCCCCCCCCTCCCCAGCACTTATTGAACGATCTGGTCTGACTCTTCATTTTAACAGAGACCAAATTTGATTGACTGCTTTCCAGAGCCAAAAACAATAGCAATATTTTGATTATAAGGGACTCATTCTTCAGCTCTGCCTAGATAAAGTGCTTTTTAAACAGCGTATTTAATCTTCTTTCAGAACTGCTGAAGGGTAGGATTAAGTTGCCACAGTTAAACCCTGTGTGCCTTCTGAAGAAAAAGCGTGTTGAACTTCCCTTTTTTGTCGAAAAAACCAACCTCCTTCCAAGATACCTTCCATGACTGTGATTGCTTTAGAGACCCGCCAAGAGAACCCAGTCAAGCAGGCACATCACACATTAAGGAGGTGATTCATGTTTTTATTTTATTATACACGCAACCAGGAAGAGCACTTCCCACTATAATCTTTTGTTTTCCTCTCATAAACAACCAAAGGCCTCTGCGGTTTTGGAAACGGGATCATGGTGATAGTGGACAAAAGGTCACTAAATGCCCGAGCACCAAGCCCTGTGCAAACTGGAGCTCCTTCATTATTGGTGGGCATCCACATGCCAGTCCAGGTCATCATAAACTCCAGGTTCTTATTCAGGCATTGGGCTCAGACCCCAGCGCCACCTCCCAATCCAGGCTGTCCCAGTCCTCCGCACAGTGTAATAAACACCCAGCTGCAGCTGAATCCCGGCCCTTACACCCACTCCGGTCACAGTGAAATTATGGTCAAGATTCTGATAATAAATAAACCAACAGAATGATGTCAAGTTGGCAGGCCGCACTTTTCCACGTCTTCCACATTTTTTTTTTAAGTGTCCCCCCCCCCAAACGCGGTCGCCACGTGCCTTTGTGGTGGAAAACTCACGATGGCAGCGGAGAAGGATGGCCAAGCACCCGGGCAGCGTCGGTCTCCAAGAGGATCGACGTGTAAACAGGAATAAGCTGTAGGAAACACCCAGGTCTGAGCGGCAGCAACCAGGCCGCAAGACATTGAGTAAATAAACACGGATATAGCACTCTCTGGACCCGCGTCCTATTTTCCGTGTCAGCATTCCAATCTGACAGATTGTTCAGTTGTTAAAAGAAAACCCGACGACCAACAAACAATGACTGGAAGGATACAGTGGTCAGTCGTGTCGCTTTTGCACCCTGGGTCACACTCAAGTTACACACATCTGAACACGTTTTTCTAGAGTGTTCCATGTGCCGCAGATATCTTAACCATCATCCATTTATTAACACAAACAGATGCTGGCTTTTCGTTTGATTGTTTACTTCCCTGTTTTATTAGTGAGGCAGTTTCACCGCTTGAAGTAGCTATTGCACAACATTCCCAGGAAAACTGACAGTAAAATCATTGCACTACACAGAAGAGCCGTGCTTTAGGCACTAAGTATGAGTGGAATCTTCTAGGGATTTTTTTTCTTTTGCCCCCTTGGTTACAGAGGTTACGTTACACACGGAAAAATGCGGCAGACAACTCTTTCTTGCCCACACTTTTTATTAAGAAAATCTGGTGAATCCGTATCAATGACTACATTGAGAAGGACTCCATCTTGACCAGAAAATAAAGCCTGGCTCAGTGATGCCACAGTTTCCATTGTCTGTCTGGTGGTGCTGGTGGGTTGGCCAAGCCAGAGTTTATGAACCCGAGCTTCGAGATGGATGGGGTTGCGTCGCTTCTCCTGTGTTTATGACCCGGGGTTTGTCATCTTCAGCCGCTATTTACATTACTGCGTTTAACCCTAATTATTTAATTTTTGTCCACAGTATCTTCATTTTTTATGTTAGCACTTTTATAGGACATTTCGCCATCGCTTCCTGCTCTCTTGAAACGTGTGAGTTCAGGAACTGCAGTATGACACCCCTGGCTGCACATTGCCTTTATGAAGTCGCCTCTCTGTGAAACCTTGTTAGACCCTTTTGGAGATTCGTTTGCTAGTTTTCACCTTCATGTGAATTGGCAGAATTGTGTCGTTTGTTCATGATGGAAGTATGGTCACCTTTGACCTGGATTCTGTTTGCTGGAGCTCATTAAGGAGCTTAGCTACGGGCCTTCAGGAGTGATGCAAGCAGACCTGCTGGAGATCCTTGTCCATTTGTATTTTGGGTATGTCTGTGAGAACATGTGATTGCACATCCCCAGGCTCCGCATGATGTCATGCAGGTCATAGCGATGGATGTGGCACCAGCGTAGGTCAGCATCGGGTTTGACCCCACTGGAATGTACGCTCTGGCACTCTGACCCCTATTGACCCCCCTGGGATGGCAGTATAGGGTTAGTTTGGCCTGCTGATGGTCGTACCAGTGTGCAGCACAGTTCCCACACTGTGCTGGTGGTCTGCTGTCGAGGGCTTAACCAAAAAAAAAAAAAACCCAACACAAATGAAATCTGCTGCTTCAGAGGTATGGTATAAATAAAAGTGGCAAAGCTTTTTCTGTTATAATTTCATATTTTTTTTCGTCTGCCTGGGGTTTGAATGATGAAGCCCACGCAAATCCCGGCCTTCTTGGGTTGACAGTGCTCTGGCTGGGTACAATGGCACCATCTTCGCTTACGGACAGACGGGCAGCGGGAAGACCTTCACCATCACCGGAGGAGCCAAGCGCTATAGCGACCGCGGCGTCATTCCTCGCACGCTATCCTACCTCTACCAGCATTTCAGCCGGGTGAGTCTCCTGCCTGCCTGGCCTGCGTGTCAATTAGACATCATGTCCACTCATTGGATTCTCCATTCAATAGGACAGCAGCAAGATGTACACCACGCAGATTTCCTACCTGGAGATATATAACGATGTGGGCTACGACCTGCTTGACCCCCGTCACGGGGCCTCTGCCCTGGATGACCTCCCGTAAGTATTGGTTTCTCTCATGTCCATTTCCATGTTAACAACGCGGTCGCTAAACCGATTTAGCATTAAACCTGGTTGAATGTCTCTGTTATGAAAACACTGTAAGTAATGGTTTTGTTCAATTGGTATTCATTGTATCATAAATCACGCACCATTGAGGCTTCAGCATTCTTCCATAGAAAGGCTCATGTTATAATTAATGCTTATTTGCATCAAAATACCTGTGGGTTTCAAAGCAGGGTCGTTCAGCACGATGCTTGTCCGCCTGGCCGGCTCGTGCGCTTTCTGAAGGGGAGCACAGACATCTCCAAGAAGTTTCCGGAAAGCAGGGGGCTACACGTGCCGGTGCAGTGGCCGAGAGCGATGGAGTTAGGCCTAATCAATGACAGAGATGAACGGGCTGTCCCGATATGTGAGCCGACCACACGAGAGAGGAAATTTTCATTTCTGGTGTCTGCAGTCCGTAATTCATCCCGCGCTGGCTCCGCCCGCAGTCCGCCAGCCCTGTCTGTCCCCCCCCCCACCCCGCTTTCTGTGGCCCGGGACCATCGCAGTGATGGCATTCCCATGGCAGCCCCCCATTCCTGCTGGGAAAACGCTCCTCCATGTTTGTCCACACCTGTATTCAGCTCCACTCCCCTGTTTCTCTGTCACTCTTTACCTGGGAGGTGGGATGTGAGGTTTACAGAGACCCGCATCATTCTTAGATATGAGACATTATGGCCCAGAGGTGAGAAATCAGTCCTGCGTCTCTCTCTCCTTGCGGTGCCTGTTTCAGCAGACATGCAGAACACTGAGTGCTTATTTCACACTTCCATCTGTATTGACTGAGTGTCAAAAATAATCCATAGTTTTGTGAGATTAAGAAAATGGCTTTTTATGTTGTATTGCAGTGGTCAAAAAGGCCACATGACTAGCCTATGTCAAAGTGTGATGTTGTCAGATTTCCATGGCGGCAGACAAGACAGCCATTGTTAATTATCGGCCCTCGAGAGCGGATGCGCTTTTTCCAGGAGGGCAGGAGGAATGGCGTAGGCTGGCTTTCTGTTTGGAGGGGAGGGGTTGAGTCACACTCGTCCTATTAGGAGCGTGAGATGGGGCATCCTTCGGAGAGACCTGTGATGCGGAAGGATGTGGCTTAAAATCATGAGAGATTTAAAGACGCCCCGGTCAGTTTCCACACCGGCTCAGCTCCACATGATGGAGAGTCTGGTATAGTGTAACATTCATAAAGAACCATAGCTTAAATCAATAATCACTAGATCCATAATGACAGCTCAATGTGAACACGGCAAACCGGAAACACAGACACTTGGCAATTATGTGCAATTATGACCTTAGGTCATTTTTAGGTCATTTTTAGGTCACTTTTCAGGGTCAGGTGCCCTGAAAATTCTTTGATGTGATGAACAAGCGCTCATCCTCCTTTGTAGCACATGCTACGGGTAGCACTGTCACACTTGGTGGGATACAGGGTTAGATTTTCGCTTCACCCAAAGGTGAATCCCCTAGTCGGAGAGGGTCTGATACCCGCTCACTTCCCAGCTTGGGAGCTGTCTGCTCTGTTGGCGCTGTGGCGGCCGATCACCAGTGGGTTTTCTGTCAGTTCCCGGTGATGCTGGCCTCGCCTTTCCTACCCCGCTTTCTCCCTCGCTCCCTCGCACTCGAGGCTCAGCCGAAGGCCCCGCAGCTGCACAAATTGCCTCTTTCTGAAAATAGCCGGTGCCTGCTGCCAACCGCATGGCCCGGCTCCCATTGCGAGGCCTCCCCTAGCACCCGCTCCCCTACAGGCCGCCACAGTACCCCTTGGCCCGCTTCCCCTTCTGGGAGGGGGCTTGCGATCCGCAGGTCTGCACGATTTGTCCCACAAAGTGTTGGCACGAGCCGGACAGCCGGGCTCACTCCGAAACAAGCCCTGGTGTCAGTTTTCATTGCCAGAGGACAAAATATAAACTCATATTTTTAAATAAATCTGCCAGAGATTTTTGTTGCCGTTTCAGACGAGTGTCTTCACTCTGATGATAAAACGTCCCCAGCCCTTTAATTTGGGTCTGCTGGATCATTCTGGATGCTTTCTACCAGCCGACGGAGTCAATTCTGTTGTTTATGCTGGATGGAGGAGACGTGGATCGGGCACAATCGTAAAAGTGCATCATTAAGGAAAGCGACGGTTTTAATTTCACGTGTGGCACGACAGCCACTCCTAAATGACACTGGCCCACAGCGCCATTTTTGCGACGTTTTCCCCCAGACTTCTCCATTTTTATTACAGCATATTTGTTTCCTAATTACTGTATCTCTGTCATCGTAAGTCATGAACGGCCACAGAGGCATCTGGCTGAATACCCAAGCGAGCCAGGAGATCTGTCATCGTCTGATTGCTGAGACATAAAGCACCCCTATTCCTGCTTCTTAAATGACCAAAGTTTTTTCCCTTAAGTCTCCTTACTTTGAATGTTACTGTCCCCTGTTTTTGACACACTTGCCTCCGTGACGTAAATGTCCTCCTGGCCACACCGATATGGTCAAATTAGACCGAGTATGACGTTGTCACCACAGACCTGAAAGTGTGAGTGGATCTTTCCGGAGCGCTGCCTTCACCCCCGCTGTACCCCTCCCATGTCCAAGCCGTTCCCTTGCTATAGTCGTCTTGATGTGGGCGATCATTCATGCGCTGTTTGTTTTAGGAGTTAGTGTATCCATTATCGCATTATAATCCGCCGATGTATATAGCATCTGCGCAGCTTTAGACAGGGCCTGCAAGCTTGCAGACGCGGTTTGTGCAGCGCCGTGGAATGTCAGTTAGGAAAACAAGGGCCGTGTTGTTCATGCTGAAACAGACGTTCGTTCTTTCTTTATGTTTGGTTTTGTTCAAATGTGTATGAGTGGGCTGAAAAAATAACCACATATTTCTGTTTTTGCCTTCCCCTATCGGAGGTGCTTTCTAAATTCTGAGACTATAATTGTATGTTTCTTCCCAGCGATCTTAAAATATTGTAAAATAATTCATTGAAATTTTTGTTAAAATCAGCTTACTGTATGCCTTTCTGTATATGCAGGTCAGGGCTTGGTTTCTTATTTTGCATTTCCACTGCTGTAGGAAAGTGACCATCATGGAAGACCCAGATCAAAACATCCACCTCAGGAACCTGTCAATCCACCAGTCGGGCAATGAGGAGGAGGCTTTGAACCTGCTCTTCCTCGGAGATACCAATCGGATGATTGCAGAGGTGAGGGGGCGTGGCCAGAACAGAGAAGGCAGCTCTGATTGGGAGAGGTACACCACTCACTCTCCTCTGCTGTAATTTAAACAGCTTTCACAGTGTGTTACTTTGACCCCAAGGCAACATTGACAAAACACCAAATTTACTGTTCAGAGGTTTTGTCTTTGAATTTCAGTATTTTCTGCTTTTCCATATGTGGAAACAATGACAAGCCACGCACAAAGTAGGCCTTGGTCTGTCTTTGTTGTAATATCCATGATGGCCTACAGTAGGTGACTTGATGATTTCATGGTTTTCTCAGAGGTTTAAAGGGTTTGCAGCATGCGGTAGGTAACACTGGGCCGAGTCGTGGTTCTTAATTTGTTTTTAGTGGTTGGATTCAGCGCTTGTGAGTCGAGGCCCATGACCTTGCAGTTCTCCCTGAGACTAGTCAGGCCAATTTTTAACCACCTGAGGTTTCTCTGGTGACACAGCCATTTGTGTAGATAGTTCAGCACCCAAAACCCTGCTTCTGCCCCGGGGATCTGTGGACTATCGCCATCTGTCCCGCATAGAGCCAGCCTTCACATTCATCTTCTCTTTGTTCTGTTGGCTGCTGAGGTATCAGGCTCGTTAAAGTGTTATTATGGGTATTTTTCTCCTAAAAAGCAGATCAGCGATAACTGTGCAGCCAGATAATGACACGTCCAGCTTTAAATAATGCGAGCGTGAGACCGTAAGCCAGGGACTTGTGGAGCTTCAGCGTGCAGGAAGCAGACCATCTGATTGTGCTTTCATCTGCTGCCTGTAGAATCTTCACCATTTTACTGCCCCCATGCTTAACCTGTAACATCCCCCCCCACCCCCCAAGTCACATCTGTCACCCCCCCCCCCCAGGGGGGGCGGTTACTGTGGTTCTTTGGCATTCTTGTTTTGGACATCGGGTTAGTCACTGCTTGTGAAGAAGAAAAAGATGGAGCTGACTAGGAGCTGATACGGTTTGGGGGCCTGCCATCTTGACCTGAGGTCATCCCATACGCTTGCAGATTACATCTGATCAAGAGAATCTAGATGCCTTTCTCCCTTTTATCCTTTCTTCTGTGTGCATGTCATCATCCCCTCTGCCTGCCAATGGGTCAGACTGTGCTCTCCCACATGCCTTACAATTCAGCTGTTTTTTTTATCTACAGGAAATCTCCTTCTGTTTTGAAATCACCATGCATTTACAGTTCAAGGCCTTTACAGACTTTTGAAAGATCCCATGATAACGAGAACAGGACTGGATAAGAGAGCAACCCCTGCCTAACAAGATGGCTCCCATGTCAACATCCATATCCATGTCCAAAGGTTCGACAGATATTGCTGTTGGGGTTGCCATTAAGGACGCACCAATCGATCAGCCAGCGACCGGAAATGGTCGATTTCCACCCTGATCGGCACTGACCGGCAGTTGACCAGTCAATCTAAATATGGCCAATGTGAACAAAAGTTCTCTGTGGGCATCTAAGAAACTAAGAAATGTTGCAATTGGCTGGGATCAGTATCGGCAGGTCAGGCTTAAAAAAATCAGCAATCAAAATCGGCCAATGAAAATGCCGTTGAGGCATCCCTGGCTGTTGTGGCTTTTCCAGAGAAACCCGGTAGGGTTGTCCTGGTGTTACTATGGTAACAGCACCCTATCCTTCATGGCACAACCCTCAGTCCAACGTTTGATTCACCCCTGCCAGGAAAAGATGGGACCATCCCAGGCAGCCTGACATCAGAGGTTGGGCCCCAACACTCATGTCTAGCTAATCTAATAACATAAAACAGGCACCTGTTTGTCTGCCTGTATTAAGTCACCATTTTGTCCCGCTATCCTCCCATCCTGTGGATCTGTTCAGTGCCTGATTGGAACGAATCTCACGCGATCCTACCCAAGTCCATCAGGGCGTGGACTGCATTTGGCATCTTATTTTTACGATGCCATATCTCATGTCTTGCTCAATATCTTTATTTTACATAATTACCTGAAAAGCCAGAGGTTGAAGGTTTATTTCGCAGCGTTTACAAAGGTGATGGTGTCATGAACTTCTAAGATGTATGAGCTGCTGTCAAACACCACGGCGTCTGTCTGAGGAGGTGCTGGGACGTGCAGTGCAGCCCAGCTGGATTTATACACCCTGACAGATACTGACACTGCACACACCACTGCCTGCTAGAAAGCAGCCATCATGTTGTGATGTTTGAAATGTGGGTTCAAGTGAAGGACTGGATCCTCTTTAAACATCAGGTGCCTCATCGCTGTAAGCTGAGCCGGTCCTCAGCCCAGTCTCGGAAGTCCCCCGTGTGCCGTCCAACTTTGGTGACTCGGTGCTTGTGTCCCCGCTACCCGGCAGACCCCAATGAACCAGGCGTCCACACGCTCCCACTGCATCTTCACCATCCACGTTTGCAGCCGCGAGCCGGGATCGGCCACCCTGCGCCGCTCCAAGCTGCATCTTGTGGACCTGGCCGGCTCGGAGCGCGTGGCGAAGACCGGTATGGGTGGCCAGCTGCTCACCGAGGCCAAGTACATCAATCTGTCACTGCACTACCTAGAGCAGGTGGGTCACCTTCTGGCAGTTGTGTCCATGGTAACACTGGAGGCGGGCTTTAATGGTACTTTGATGTCACAGAGAGTGTGCGATACCTGATTCCTTAGGTGATCATCGCTCTGTCAGAGAAGAATCGCTCACACATCCCTTACCGGAACTCCATGATGACGTCAGTCCTGAGGGACAGCCTTGGTGGCAACTGTATGACCACCATGATAGCCACAGTGTCTGTGGACAAGAGGAATGTTGAGGTAAGACAGGAGAGGCAGGCGATGAGTCTTGACTGTCACAGTTATCCCTGGGTATATTTCCCAAAAGCTTCCATTACCATTGAATTGAATTGAATTGAAATCATTTAATTGTATGGTGCCAACTATATAAGTGGATAACACTTTAGCAACCATGCTATTGGGGTACTTACCCCCATTGAGATCCACCATAGAAATGTAATGCATGTGGCCACGCGTGAAGATCTCTCTGCTCTTTTCAAACGGCTGGTCCTGCCCAGCTAAAGTCTACTATAGTGACACAGACCGTACAAACAAGCTGCGAACGGGGAATAAAACTCTGAAACGGCATGGCCTGCTTGTAGCTGGATGGTAAACAGTGCAGGTCTGCACCACGTGGACGGCTAAGCCAGCCCTGCTCAGGCATTCATTCCTCCTCAGGAGTCCATCTCCACGTGCCGCTTCGCCCAGCGGGTGGCGCTCATCAAGAACGAAGCCCAGCTGAACGAGGAGCTGGACCCCACGCTGGTGAGTCAGCAGATCTGCAGCATGCGGCAGAACAATAACCCGTTGTGTGGTTGTCCTGAAATTCCTGCCTGTTGTCTTCCTCGAATGGCTTGTTGATGGCTCTTCAGAGGGTTTTAAGCTCCACCTCTACTTCCTTTCTCTGTGTTCCCTGTCTTTATTGGGGAATACATACAGCAGTGGTTTCCAGTGTGCAATCAGCAGGTGGCAGAGGTCATAAGGCAGGGTGCAGGCTGGGGCTGGTGTGTGCCTCAGCGGGTTAGGACGCAGTGCCTGTGCTCTGAAGGTTGTCGGTTCAAATCCCAGGGTCGATAGAGTGAGTTCACTGTTGGGCGTCTGAGCCCGGGCCTTAACCCCTAATTGCTCTAGGGACTGTCCAGTCCTGCTTTCTCAAAACATACTGTACATCGCTCTGGATAAAAATGTCTGCTAAAGAAATAAAAATGTACATAAATGGACAAAGACGCTCAATAAACCTGAACCAGGTGTCTTTGGAGTGGAAGGGATTCACCCCATGATGATTTACGTAGCTTATAATGTTTATTATACACAGTCAGCATATCATACAGTTTTTTTTGGTTTTCCATATCTTTTCATACGTGGGTGTACCAGTGTAGTATTTTCTTATTTATGGGGGTGTTTATATTGTTTACCCTGGCTGTTTGCATTCTGCCGGGGGTGTTTACTTACTGCATTTTTCATTCGTTCCTTGCTGCCTGATGGGGGCCGCATGTGGCCTCACGCCGTTAGCATACCGCCCCCTTTCTTGATTATTTCTGAGAAGGAGTGTTCTGGTTCCTGCTGGACCTCCGCGGCGGACCCGACCTGGGCGGCGGTCCCGGCCTCAGCCCCCAGCGCGGCGTTCACCTCTGAGCTCAGTGCAGCCCACAGTGATGCGGCCCCACTACGGGCCGAGATAAACATGCGTTAATGGGGAAAAAATGCCGTGTTTGTTTTTGCTCATTTGTATCTAATTGATCCCATCCTCAGATACTTCAGGAAGGAAAAGTCTTGGGAGAGCATGCCTCTGTTCCGAAACCCCTCCATAAAACTGCTGTTCATATCCAGGGAAGAGGAAGGCTTTCTGTTTGTCCTGTATGGCACCCGCCCATAATGTCTGCTGATTTACATTTATTTACATTTATGTATCTAGCAGATGCTTCTATCAAAAGCGATGTGCATTTTTGAGAATTTTTGTCCGATGGTCCCTGGAGAATTTTAGGATAAGGGCCTCAAAAAAAGGTATTTAAATATAGTCTTAAAACTGAAAAACATTTACATATTTAGCAGACACTCTCTATCCAAAGCAATGTACATTTAAGAAAGCAGAGTCCGAGAGACCCTAGAGCAGGGCCTTACTTAAGGGCTCCACAGTGAAATCACTCAGCCAACCAGCAGCATTCCGATCACAGGCATGATGTCCTGACTGGCTGAGTCACACGCTGCCTCCATTAAGGCACAACCGTCTGAGAGACTCACAGCACAAAGAATGTGGATGCCGGTGTGATCTGAGTGAGGCGGCAAGGACGCGGTAGGTCCCTAATGCCTCCTGTGCCGGCATTGCGGTCTGCCTCCCCTACCTTATCCCCCCATGCCCTCCAGTCCTGTCTGCTGTGTCTCCCCAGCCAGGCCGATTAGCCGCTCAGGGTATCTCTCCTGCTCCCCCGCCGCTCCGCAGCCCTCGGTGGCTGACATTACTTGGCTGCCCGCTTTTGAGCCCCGGAGACGTATTTTTACCAGAGTCTGCGGTCGCCGGCTAATTGAACGGGAGTCTGGCTGGGAATCTGGGGAATGGTCTTCCGTGCTGGGGCATGTGGGATGCCACTCGCTCACCGGAACGCCGCCACCACGGAAAATGGGGAAATGATACACTCAGGCCGCTAACGGCTGGCGTGATGTCACGCTGGCTCGTGCCGGTCACTTGGCTGGCTATGCTTGCCCAGATAGATGCACAGCTCCTCACATCTGCTTTGAGTCAGACGACACTCATAGCTCTTATATGTGCTAATAGACCCAATCAGGGTATATAGGCAATAGATTCTTAGCTGTTGAGTTAATATACAGTAGCTGGAAGTTCACTTTGCCCCACTTAAGGATATTATACTATGGTTTTTCCTCAGATTTAAACTGGCAGCTCTTGAGGTACTTGAGGCTCTGGCCCGTACCGCTATGCTGGTCATTCTCCTGCCGGTCGTCCTGATTGGTTAGCAGCATGCCTGTCCCATGCTTGCTGGTTGGTGTTTGTGAGCCAGTGAGGTCACAGCGCTCCCGCTGCTGGGGCTGTAGCGTCTAGGGCTGTCACGCAATCTCATGGTAGAGGAGCGAGGACGACGGAGAGAGCGGCTCAGACAGCCGTGACAGGCCCCGCTCCCGCCTCCCACGCCGTGTCCCTCTGCCAAACCCGTGCCGGGTTCCTCCAGAGACCCGGTGAATATTCAGGAGGGGCTCCGGCCCGGCTAGACTCTCTCATTAGCACATACCTGTCGTACTAACTAGCCGTCTGTTCAAGGTCGGCGGGGGAGCATTTTGAAGCTGGGCCATTAACATTCCTGCGGCTTGGTCCTGCTGGGGGAGGCGCTGGAGGTCGCATGCGATACCACCGGTGCTGTGGGCTGGCGAAAACGTATAGCCGAACGAGAGGCTCCGGGCTCTGATCCGGGGTGGGAAGGGGTATGGTAGTGTGCCACAGGCACCTGGCGACACCCCCACCATCTCTGTTGAGCTGCGGCGTCCCGAGAATCTCTCCGCTTATAATGTCATCTTTGGTGAAAGACGAGGAGCCACAATCAGAAACAGAAACGGCGAGTCTGTCATCTGCCCGCGCACCCCCGTGCTTCGCCGCCGTGTGGCGGGAAGCGGGCGGCCATGTTGGGACTTGCCCTGTCTGGGTGACGCCCGTGCCGTCCCTTGGGGTGGCACCGTGCCCGCGCTACAGAAGCCAGGCGGCGCGGTGTCCAGTTGCGTACGCATTACGCAATGCGCTTACGTGGCAGGCGTCTTGCTGCAGACCCGTATGCCGCATACAGTAGCTTATGCCTCAGGGCATATTCATTAATGAAATCGGCTTACTAAATCCGAATATGTAATGTGGTATATAAACCCCCCCCCCCCCCCAATCCAATACTGTTGGTGTCTAGGCTCAGCAGGCAACGGGTGTGACCTCACTGACTTTAGTTTAGCAACATGCCACGCTGCCCTTATCTTAACGATGTGCATCACTGCCTTTAGCGTATTGATGTGCGCTGTTGCCTTTAGCTTAGAGATGTGTTTCACAGCCTTTAGCTTAGTGATGTGCCCTGCTGCTTCTGGTTTAGCGATGTGCCCCGCCGTCTTTGTTAGTGAAGTGTTTCACTGCTGTTAGCTTAGCGACACACCCCGCTGTCTTTAGCTTGGTGATGCACCCAACTGTTTTTAGCTTAGCGACACATCCCACTGCCTTTAGCTTAGCGGTGTTCCCCGCTGCCTATAGCTTAGTGACGTGCCTCGCTGCCTTTAGCTTAGCGACGTGCCCTGCTGCCTTTTCCTTGACGTGCTCTGCTGCCTCTTGCAGGCAGGCCAAAGTGATCATATTATCATAGCCGCCAATGCTACAGTTTCTGTGGCTCTGTCATTCCTTCATGCCTCAGCAGTCTGTATGTGTGGTAGCGTGTGATGGGATGAAGTGAAAACTACCGTCTTATTAATGTCCGGCATTTCCCCTCTACCAGGGATCCTAGTCTGTCACTGAAACCTTAATCGCTGTTGAAAATAATTACGATGCGTTAATGTCGGGAGCCCCAGCTGACGAAAGCCTTTCAGGGGAGTGCCCGGTGTCTGGGAGCATGGTGAGAAATGCTTTATTTACGGTAAGCGGATACCAGCATCGCTACCGGTGGTCAGGGATGGCAGTGCCAGGTCATAGCCGAACACGTGCTGACCGGAGACAGCCCTTTTATTTCCTGCCTGATCATAGCAGTTTTGGGCTCATGTGGTATGCTGGGCTTCCTGTAATTTCATGCTTGTCTGGAGCTGGTTAGACCCTCCTGGAACATATCTCACCACAATTTGAGTTTTCGCACGATTCCGTCATGGGCGGATAATATCCTCGACAGATATTTCAAATCTATATTTTCATTTTGCTATATTTTTTGCCAGAATGTCGGTCCAGCTGGATTTAGTCAAAACTTTGACATAGAAGTTTGTGTTTTTGTGTGAAAAAAAACCAGCACTGGCTAATTTTGGCTGTGGCTTTTTACAGGGCGATACCCTGCAAAGGATGTCAGCTGGTCCACACGCTGCCAGTCGAAGAACTGCAGCTGTCAGCTTCTTGGGCGAGGAAGCGAGCATGCACTCGCGTATCGCCACAGAAAGGGCCCCTCGGCATTCTGGGTAGCGATAACATGTGGGTTCAGTTGGTGGCGGTGTGGACTGTGCTGTGACCGTGCCCTGGAAGTGCAGTTCTGTCCGATACGTCCGGGCGTGTCACAGCGATGTCCTGTTGTGGTGAAATTTGGAATCGACATCATGTGATTGTAAATATTTAAATTATGCCTTCGGTTAATTTAGGTTTCGTATTAAAATATTTTTGTTGTTTATATTACCGGGTTCTGCAACAGTTCTGTCCTGAGAAATATTTAACATTTTTCAGCTCTGAAGTCAGTTGGTCCCAGTCAGTCGGAGTTCCAGAGATACATTAACCCGAACTGAGTGCCTGGTCTGTGTGCTTGTGGTTTAGTAAGAGTCCCTCTTCTCCTCTGTTCTGTTGTGTCAGGATTTTGTAAGCTTTGTTATCATCTCTGGGGGGGCTGCTGCAAAATTTAGCCTGTCATCACCATCCTATAATAATGAAACAGTGAGGCACCCAGCAAGGGGACAGGGTGGCATCCCGCGTTATGGGGCACCTGGATGGTGTTCAACAAGCTTAAAAATCGAGTTAGCTTAGCGCGCCGCATTGGTGACGTGCGGAGAAGCACTGTCTGGGTGTCTGTCGTCCTCCAGGTGATTGTGCGTCTGAAGAAGGAGATCCAGCTGCTGAGGGAGGAGCTGGCTATGGTGACCGGGGAGCAGAGGGCGGAGCAGCTCGCCGAGGACGAGATCCAGAAGTACGGAGCATAAGCAACCGCAGGGATGTGGAGTAATGTCAGTCTCTGCAAGTAACAGATAGATTGCATGTGACCATCGCGTTCAAAGGGATCTTTAACTGTGCATGTAAAGCCAGTTTATTATGATCTAATATAATCCACATTCCTCGCGATTCCTGTTTATCTTCAGGAGTATAAATTCTGACTTCTCGTCGTGGTTTTCTAACAAATGTCTCCCTTTTATTTGTTTATGCTGTATGCTTTTGCAATTCTAATGATAAAAAAAGATTATTATTATTTTTTTTGCAAAACTGTGCTTTTGCCATTCCAAAAAAAAAAGAGCAGCGGTATGCAAGTTCAGAAACACTGCGGAGCGATTCTGGCGTCAGGACGGAAGCTCTGTGTTTGTCATGATCTCAGCAGCGGGCTCTCCCAGGCAGTCATTTCGGGACAGCACTCTGAAGTGCTGAGCTAGCCCCCAGGCCCCATGGCCCCAACCGGCCCCAGCCTGTTCACTGCCTACCCCACAGTCACCCTGCTGCCCGTGACGATGGACCCACCACACCGGTACTGATACTGGCATCACTCGGTTCGGCCTTGGCTCGTGCGGAGCAGGATACCAGACCTGTGAAACAAAAGCTATAATGCCAGGTAACACCTGAGTGGGCAGTTATATAGTAACTGTTTGATAAAACAAGCATCACGCTCCTTTAATGATGAATTAACATGAGATCAGTGTGTAAGAAAGAATTTGTGGTAAATTAATACATACATAATGGCATAATACTATATTAGTGCCCCAAGTGTTACCAAATCGCGAATGATGCCTGGTGAGGCCGGTCCCAGGAATTGGTGCTGACTTGCTGATGGTTCAAAGGTCTCAGGTCACATGATCAGCACGGGTAGCGGAAACATGGCATGCCGGAGGTGTTGCCCCTCAGAAGCGGTCCTGCAGCCTTGGCCATAAATCGGTGCTTCTCCTGGCGATCGGTCTGCGGGGAGCCTGTCTCAGGCTGGACGTTGTGCCTTGATTCTCCATCAGTGTGCCTCACCCCCCCAGGACCTCAGTTCACGTGCCAGGCTGGGGGGGGGGGTGGGGGTAGCAAGCTAGCTCATCCTGCTAGAGCGCCGAAAACATTATTGTTAACCCCCACATTCGCTGCCACTTCATTATTTTTGCCCATTTTTCCAGTCCATTTTTTTCTGTCCCCAACTGGGGACTCTCAGGGAAGCTGCTGCACTGCTTATTTAGTCATCCGTCCATTTTCTGTAGCCACTTGTCCCATCTAGGGTCACAAGGGGTCCAGAGCCTATAGGCACAAAGTGGGGAACAACTCAGGACGGGGCCCCAACCTATCCCAGGGCTCACTCACACACCATCCACTCACACACCATCCACTCACTCACACACCACTCACTCACACACCACTCACTCACACACCACTCACTCACACACCATCCACTCACTCACACACCATCCACTCACTCACACACCATCCACTCACACACCATCCACTCACACACCATCCACTCACACACCACTCACACACCATTCACTCACACACCGTTCACTCAGACACCACTCACTCACACATGGGCAATTTAGCAACTGAAATTAGCCTCAGCATTTTTTGAACTGTGGGGGGAAACGGGAGTACCTGGAGGAAACTCCACAACAACAGGGGGAGAACATGTAAACTCCACACACATAGAACCTTGGCGGACACTTGAGCCCAGGTCCCCACGGTGCTAGGCAACAGTGCGAACCACTGCACCACCGTGCCACCCCATTTTCTCATTCATGTCCTCATTTTCACACCCATTTCCTTTGAAGTGAAAATGGCTGGCGTACATCCCTCTCCCCTGTTCATTTTCTGTGGAGAAATTTACCTCCAGGAACATCCCTTAGAGGCGATCTCTGCTGTCAGGAGAGTCTGTGATTTAAGCTCCTGCCCGCATTGGAACGTGACAACATGTTATACGTTATGTTCAAGTACTGGAAATTAAAGTAGCATTTGGAGCTTTGTGAGGGGGGAAAATGCCCCATACCCCCACTCTGAAAGAAATAAAGTGTAAAGAGCTCATTTGAATTTATTCTTTGTGCGAGGGGAGCAGTCTCCCCGCCGGCCGAGCCAGAGCCAAAAAGCAAGCGGTGTTTGATCCTCGTGCGTTTTCACCTCCCATAACTCAGCAGGGTCGCCAGGCCGTGGAAGCAGAGGCCCGGGCTTCTGGCCTGTTGGTTCACAGCCCATCCAAGGTCTCGGCTGCGAATCAGTCACATGCTTCGAGTAAATAGTTTTTCTTTGGCTCTGTGATGTTAAACACCTCCTAGGTTTGGCCTCTCGCCGTCACGGTGTACCATTACCCGAATCAGCCACGCGGCATACGTGTCTCCGTTGTTTGCGTTGTGTTTTCACGGCCCGTTTGCTAAGTGCATGTGTGTGGCATGCCTGTCTGCGTCTCCATGTTGTTTGTGTGTGACGGTTTCACCCCATTACGCTGCCGTTTGCGTGTGTATACGTTCCGGGATGTGGTTTATGGTTACCCGTGTCTGCAGCATAAATAATGCACGTTTGTTTGCGTCCCCAGTCAGCAGTGTATGTCCCCTCTCCAGGATGGAGGGCCAGGTCAAGGCCTTCCTGGACGACCCTGACCCTGACATCACCCTGGATCTGGGGCCAGACATGCGGAAGATCCACTACTGCTTTTCCTTGCTCAAGGTGAGGTTCTCAGCGTCCCTGGTGCTCAGGTACAGACAGCCTGCCTCTTGAGACTTTACAGTTAGTTCATTGAGGTCAGTCTACATTCTGACCACTGGGAGTGGGTTAAATAGCCTCACGCCGACCCCTACTGGCCACCTTCAAGAAAAGTATGAAATTTTATCATGGAACAAGGCTTTTGAGAATCAGAAATGCCTCTGTAGGGATCACTCTGGTTTGGGGTTTCACACCTGTTAATGTGCGGATGTAAAAGCATCGATGGAGCTTCCTAGGGAAGGCGTCAGTGGGATGGGAAGGTTGGGCTGGGAAGGTTGGGATGGGAAGGTTGGGATGGGAAGGTTGGGATGGGAAGGTTGGGCTGTGTGCTGAGTTGTGGCTGCCAGCTGCTTCATCCTGACCCCCTCCTTTGAACATAAGAACATAAGAAATTTACAAACGAGAGGAGGCCATTCGGGAGAGCTTAACTAATAGCTCAGAGTTGTTAAAATCTTATCTAGCTCTGATTTAAAGGAACCCAGGGTTTTAGCTTCCGCTACACTAGCAGGAAGACTATTCCATACTCTAACTACACGCTGTGTAAAGAAGTGCTTCCTCAAATTTGTTTTAAAATGTTCTCCCGCTAATTTCCACTTATGGCCACGAGTTCTAGTATTTAAACTAATATTGAAATAGCCATTTGGCTGAACAGTATCCAGACCCGTTAGAATCTTATAGACCTGAATCATATCCCCCCTTAGTCTCCTTTGCTCAAGGCTGAACAGATTCAGCTCAGCTAACCTCTCCTCATAAGACATTCCTCTAAGACCAGGAATCATTCTCGTAGCCCTCCGTTGCACCTTTTCTAAGGCAGCAATGTCCTCCTTAAGGTATGGTGACCAAACCTGCACACAATATTCTAGGTGGGGTCTTACCAAGGAATTATATAAATGTGACATCACCTCCCTTGACTTAAACGCCACACACCTAGAGATATAACCCAACATTCTATTGGCTTTTTTTTATTGCTTCCCCACACTGGCGAGATATCTTTGGCTGTATTCAGAGCATTATGCCATGCCTGTGTGTGAATTGCATAGATTGTCAGGTCCAGCTGTTTCTTCCGGTCCCGGGTTGCAATGTGAGCTTCATGCGTGTGTTTCCATTCCTTTTCTCTTCAGTTCTCTCACTCAACCTGTCTTGCTCTCATCATGCTGTGTTTGGGGTCTTCTCACTACCTGCTGTGGACTTTATGGTGGGTGTGACACTAATTTCAAAGCTAGATTGCTGTGGCCTGTGGCACCCCCCCCCCAAGCTTCGGGGTTGTCACTCGCATTCCTAGCAATGGCCTCACCCCTCGGTGGGGAGGAGGGGCGAGGCCATGCATATCTGATCTCCACCCTGCAAGAAATGCCCAGGAGCCCATGGCATTACTGTAACGAGAGCAGCACAGGGTTCTGTGATAGATCAGCCCTCTATCTGTGCGAGTGCCTATGTATGTATAGGAAGAGAGTGCAGGAGGCTAAATTTAGAGCTGCTTAAAGCAGGCCTGGAACATGCCACTGCCAGGGTTAACCAAAACGCTGAGGAATATGTTGCACATCATGATGCATTTTGGCGAAATACTGCAGTGAGTCTAAAAGCAGCACACCATCAGCTCCCAATTCCTCCATTATAGCCCATCAGAACATGCTCGTTTCTGGAAGTAGGCGCTGATTTCTTCATCATCTGTATTCCAGTAAAGGGGCTGCAACACTGTGCCCCCAGCACTGGCAGGGAGATGCGAAGCAGCCCGCCAAAGCTGTGGACGTGCCTCTTCAGGGTTTTAGCTTTCGAGTAGCAGGCAGGTGGCCTACTGGACTACGGGCAGCAGCCTCTATGACGCGCTGACTCCTCTCCTGATCTCCACCTTTGACCCACTGTCCTGCATTATGGATCTGCTGTGATCCATTCCTCGAAGGACCGCTTCCCCATCTGACTGTATTCACCCCATAGGATTTCTTGTTATTCCTTTGGTTTTGATTAGTCACTCTGAGGTCGTGGCTCAGGGATGGATTTAAGAAGGAGGAGGAGGCTGTTATATTAATGTAACCTTGGCCTTTTTCCACAGGCGATGGTTCGGTCGGGTCAGGCTGGGGCAGCTGGACATTGCCGTCCTCCCTCCGTGGGGACAGCGGAGGACAGCCCCGCCCCAGGGGAGCTGAAGAAGCTGAAGGACATGCTCCAGCAGCGAGACAACGAGATCAGTATCCTTCATCAGCCTTGGATGTGCTACCAGCACCTTCTCCATGGATTTATGGATATAGGGATTGATCATTACAATAAGGACGTTCCAGTTCAATTCATCTAATCTCCTTCCTTTTCTTTTTATCCATGGAAACTGTAAAAAAGTCACTTGTTACTGCTTTTTTTACAGCACACTTCCTTTGCCCCCTACATGCTCAGTATGAAGCAGCAGATGACCCTGAGTTTCATGTTTGCGGGGAGGTTTAGACCTTTAGACACAGTACAACCCATCCACATGCCACGGCCCTCCATTCCTTTACCCGACTGGCTGCATACTTTGTCTGTGTATTGTGAGTGGAAGTTATTTCAAATTTATTTGTATTGGTTTTATTGGTAATAATGATAATTTCTGCTGTGAGATGCGTCAGGCCCACTTCGCACCTGGTACTTCTGAGACGAGAACCACCCTCCTGGGACCCAGAAAGAGTCTGTTTACGCGGTGGTGTGGCGTCGAGGGAGGCCGAGGCCTTTTGCTAAGGTGGCAGGTTGCTGGCGAAACTCAGAGACTGATGAAGCTCTGAATTAAGTATGAGGACTGTATTACCCAGAATCTGTCTCATCCAGGCTGATGCCTCCCACAGGCACGGAACCGGTGTGGGATCTGCCGCTTCTCAGCCAGGCCTCAGCAGCCCGGGGGTTACAGTGTGAGAGGTACAGTAGAGGGCACATTTATATGCCCCCCTGCCCTGTTACCACCGTATGGCCTTAGCTGGTGAGCCCCCCCGGCTCAGGATGCCCGATATTCTCGGAATGTGAATTTCCAGAATTTTTTTGATTCCCTCGTAAACGGGACTCTGAGGCTGTGTTCCCAAGGAGCCGAGTTCTCGGACCGTGCACATCCATCAATCTGTCAAGCCATCCACCCATGTTTATTTTAACACGTTTTTACAACTTAGTCGTCATAAAAGGGCTGCGCGGTTATTTTCCAGAAAGCAGAAATACCCAGCCTGCTGCTCTGGGGCAAACCGAACACCATGCACTGACCACCTCGCTGACCACCTCCCTGACCACCTCCCTGAGGCTCATTGCATAGTTCGCCTGGAAGAATCCAATTCCTAACGAGTCGATCCACAAGGCAGTGCTGGCTTTTGATTCCCCTGGAACAGCTGCATGTCCCTGGCCATGTGTCCTGCCCTCTGGTGATACTGTAAACTCTGCTGCTCCACCTGAGGCTCAGGGCTGTACTCAACATGCGAGAACATGAAGGATTGACATAAAAAGGATCGCCCGTGGTTACCGTGTCGCTGGGGTTCCCCTCTAGGGGTTTCCCAAAGGACTCCCCTCATTAGCAGCAGGCAGCTTTACCCTGGCATAGAAAGTCCAAAGCCAGACCAAAGTGTGGTTTTGGGGTTGATTCTTTGGCCAGACTCTCTTCCACGTGTTTTGTCATCGGGACGATTATTCGGTTAATGTGCGGTTCATACGCACCCCGATCCCGTTATGATGCAGCAGCTTCGCTGTACCAATCGACGTTGACGTTGGGGGAAGAAGAGAGGAACTGGTGTGGAGCTGCAAGGAGTTTTAGGTGAGCTCTTTGAAAAGGTCACTTTGAAGTGCTCGCCGTGGAAGCCAAGTGTGAAAGCTTAGAGAAGGAGGAGCTCCCTCTCCTGCCCCATATACACCTCGTGACTTACGATCACTGACACGCCAGCAGGCTTCCGAGTGCCTCTGAGCTGACTGCATATGTTATTGTCTTGGCTGGTGTTTTGCTGCACGTCTTGATGCCGATCAGGCCTTCTGGAACGTTCTCGCAGCAGCCTGTCTCGTGTCTCAAATCCACCCCCCCCCCCTTAACTGCAAGGCCTGCCCTCCATCACCGCTTGGATCTGGATGTCGATCGGAAACCTCTACGTCCTCTACAGTGGCTCGCCCCCGGGAAACGAAACACCCGAGAGGCACAGATGATTTACCAGCAGTCTGATGGGCGGGGCCCCAGAGCCTGTCCGTCATCCTTAATCCTCGCCACTGCGGCTGCCTGTCCTCTCCGCCCGTCCATCCTATTTACTTAAAGAATTTTTTGGTGTTTTCCAAAGAATAGTGTGTATACACGGTATCCAGCCACATCCATGAATAATACGGCTGACATACAGGAATCACAAATAATAAATAATAAGGGAGACCCAGACTGAGACCCGGAGCCAGAGAGCTGAGCATTTTAGGGGTTTGCTGAGCCTCCGCGCCCGTGCTTCTTACCCCAGACGGTAGTTCTGAAGGTAGGAGCAGCGGCCACGAGTACAAACCTGCTGCTGCTCTCCTGTGGAGCAGAACAAGGACCTGCATAGAACATCCTCACGCCTATAAACTTTCCCCCAGCTTTGGAACAAATTGCAGCTGAGCAGATAAATTCCTGGTTGGATCAGCTCCTTGGCAGGCCCGCGGTCGCTTCCCTGCGCTCCTGCTGGCGCGGCCAGCCAGCGTATATCGCTGATGTTTTACTGCCTCTGACACATACTTGTGCTGCGTTGTCAGGTCCACCGGCAGTGTCAGATGCTGCCTGCGGGGAGACGAGCCCACAGCCACCGTCCAAGAGCCAGATAAATCACCCTCTGATAACGGCCATTTTCAGCTTATAGCCATCCGTCGAGGGATTTGGACGACATTTTTTAATCAGCGGTATGCTGAGGAACAGGAGATGTTCTTGGCTTCACTCTCCACCTTGCCCGAGATCCTTCTAGAACATAGAGATTTATGTTTCATTGTCAGAGGTGCATGTCAGATGTGTCTTGGAAGGGTTGAATATTTGTGCTGGTGGGTTTATGAAAGATGCTGCGATGCTTAGCTATGTGGAAACAGGCCTTCTGCCAGAACAGGACTTGGCGTCAGATGGGTAACACACTTTGATTGGCGGTTTGATTGGTGGTTTTGATTGGTGGTTTTGATTGATGGTTTTGATTGACAGTGCATCTACCCCTCACAGTTTGAAAACCCAGGCTCTGTAGGTCCAGTTCCTTAATGCACCTTCTGCAGGCATCCTGGTGAGCATGCTTAAGAAGGAGAAAAAGAGAGCGCAGGACTTTGCCACTCAACTGGCACAGGTGCCCACCGCCCATCTGCAATCCCAGAATACCATGAGCTCATCTCAGGCAACCCCAGAGCTGGAGGCGGGAAGGGGGCAAGACAGTGCCCAGCCGTATGCCCCACGCCGGCAACGAGGTTGGTCTCATGCACACATATATGTTCACGTATACGTCACATGCTAGCCGTCTGTACAAACACTTTGGATGGCCGTCTTCATTATACTTATTATAGCACATGCTGGCTGTTAATTAGTTAAGGTGCTAATTAACTTCTAATCTCAAAGAACCGTAAGCTGGCAGCTCTGAAGGACCAGGTTTGGCCATCCTGGGCTTTTCACGTGACCATTCAGGAACGCACTCCTGGCTTTCATCAGTAAGGTTTATGATTGCTGAATGCAACAAATTTCATGGGCTGGTTGGACTTGTTGTAAAATATTGCTGTAATAGACCACTAATGTTTTGTTAGATGCTCATTCACACTGACTGTGTGTAATCGCATGCTAATATTTGCATCAGAACACACCTGCTTCCAAGAATAATGTTTGTGAGCCCTAAGGACACCAACGTGCACTTTATTAGTTTAGCCTTTTAGCAAATATTTTCATTTTTCATGCTGTTTCAATGGCTGTCTAGCACAGTGGACATTTGCTTGCCGGTCCTGGGGAATCCTGCTTCAAATTCGGATGATGCCCCCCTTTCCCTCCCCACGATTCAGCAGCAACAGCTTGCCATGCATTGAACATGCAGACGCATTGAACATGCAGACGCATAGCATGCGGCTATTTTGCTAGGCCTTGAGTGTAGATATTTCTTACAGGGTTGCCTGAACAGATATGTGAGATTGATTTCTCCGAAACGCCGAGGGACCTCACTTGGATGTGCTGTAGCCCTAACATGTGCTCTAAAACCACACGGCGTGTGGCACGGTTTGGCCAGCAGGGGTCATACACGGCTGTTGAGTCATGGCCAAAGATCACTCAAGTCATACTGGCCGAATTAGGGAGGAAGCAGATATGCATCTATGAGCACGGGAGGCATGGGAATGGAGGGCGTCTCAAACCTCTTCACACATGGGGGCTTTCTGGCAGGTGGGAGATGTTGGCCCAGTCAGAGAGGGAGATCTCCATGTGCGGCAGGGTAAATGTACCTGGGGGGGATCAGAGTTGTGATAGATTCCTCCCCTCCCCCCCCACCTCCAGAGAGGAATTTAAGATATGGCTACTTTATGTCATCTGGGCCTCTCGGTGTAGGATCAGGTGGACTGGAGTTGCTGTGCAGAGTTTTCATCCAATGAACACAAGACCCCGGGCCAAATTAGACAGCACGCTCTGCAGCAGTGCAGCGCCCTTTGCCACTCCTGTCACTCAAGCTGCCGCTTAAGCCCATCGCAGCCAGGCCCTGCTTTTAGATTCAGTCTATTTCAGTTACTAAATAATTGGATCGTTAGCAGAGCGGCATTTATGCTGATTAAATCTGATATAAACATCAGCAGAGACTCACATGTGCTAAGTAGTCCGCCTTGATGTTGTACCTCCAATGTGCGAATTCAGTTTATGTGGGGTAGTTACTTCTTTGGATTGGCTACAGATTTCTCCACATAGCTCCATTTCACCTTTATTCCTCCATGCAGCTGGATGCTAACTGTTTAGGTGACGCTTTTGTTCAAGGGTTCAGCTTCTGTGGATGTAAACTCACCTCCATCAAGGCCACCGCACTAGCAGCTGAACCGAACGAGCCTGTTTACTTAACGTCCGCGAAAGATGCTGCTAGAAGCACACAAATGCGATTTCCTTGCTCCAAAAATAGCCGTGCAGATCGTAAACCGGTCACGATCCTCACCCCCTCTGATCTCAGGGGCACATTTGGTTTTTCAAAAGTACCAGTCCTGCCCTGACCACCTCCGAAGAGCTCAACCCAAATCCCTTGTTAAGGGAAGGGCAGTGTGCAGCTCTGCGGGTTAGGGTCAGAAGGTTGTCGGTTCAAATCCCAGACTTGGCAGAGTGATTTTGCCATTGGGCCCCTGTCTGACCCTGCTTTCTCCAAATATTTTTCTCAAAAAAGCGTCTGCTAAATAATGTAAATGTAAATGAAACAGGAAATTAAATGGAGCAGAAGAGGCTGGTGGTGGGTGTGCGGTGTCCTCTCTTTCCAAGCAGGAGTGTGGGGGCACTTCTCTCTATCTGTGCTGATTTAGTTTGCCTGTTGGGTTGTCTTTGGAAACTCTTCACATGCAAAGCAAACCCCCCCCACCCCCTCCGGGCAGGATTTAGTGTGTAGTGGAAACAGCCATGCGATAGATACCCAGGGAGAAATCCCACTTCCACATTATTCCAGACCACAGTGCTGGCCAGCGTGCACGCGTGCCGTCATGCATCCCAGGGAAAAACAGAGCAAAAAGCCACAGCGTTTGGGAAAGTCGGAGTAGGTGAGCGTGTAGGGATCGGCACCCGGGCCCCGCACGGTTTACACGTCGAGATTAGACTCTTGAAGGCCACGTAAACGCATTCCTCTCAGTGTAAACGCTCGGGCGTGCGCCGAGCCTGCACTGGCCACTGTCATCCCGACGAAGGCTAATTAAGCAGAAATCTGTTTGGAAAGTGTTGGCTAACCTGCAGATTGGGCCTGCACACACCTGGTGGTCAGATCCCCTCGCTAAAGCCCCATATCCTGCACCCATCAGGGGGCCTGGTGTCCCGGGATGCCTGTGGCCCCACCCTGCATGTGCCCCTGTTGGTGTTGGGCCCAGAGCCCTTTACACACAGAGGAAAAGCAAAGCATTTTGGCCTTTCAGGGGTACACCCTCCTCCCCCCTGCACCATGTGCACACCTTGTTTTGGTTTTGCAGAGGCTTTGCACAATGATAAACGTGAGCCCCGATAATCGCGGTGCTGGCCGGGACCTCGCCGATTGAGTCAGCTCAGCCTATCCGAGTGACCGCAGGTCTATTAGGCATTTTTGGGTAATGATGCCTCGAGTTGGTAATGGGACCAAGCGAACGTAATTGCAAACATGAGAAAATAGACTAGGCTGTTAAAAAACAAACACATGTTTGAATGGCGGCCAGCCCTCATTAGGGGGGAATTGATAACCGACGGCCACGTCGCACGGCTCTGTGAATGGAGCCCTGACAAACGGAGCACACGTCACGGCCTCCACCGGGCTTCCAAAAAGCGCGCCGCAAAGTCAGCCGATTGCGATTGTCTCTGGACTGAGACTCGAGGGTGACTGGGGGTGTGGGCGGCCGCCTTCCCTCTCAGCGTCTGCTGTCTGTTGTGGTAGCGTCAGGGGAGGGGCGGCATGGGTCCCAGCCATTTGACCGGTCCCACAGCCACGCCGCCATCTCTCTCCATGTGGGCTACCATGACGACGCCGAACCCAGTTCGACCGGCTCCCATGGGTCAGCTGGAGGTCTCTGTCCTTGAAGCCGCAACTAGGGGCTGTCTTCTCGATCACACTGCACTTTCATGTGTGCCTTTGAAAAGTTCAACATGGACAAGAAGTCATTCCAGTGGGGACTTGCATCATCGCGTGCGTCCAGAATCTGGGTCTTCTGGCTGAATTAGCATGCCTTGGGGAGATTCCTCGATTGTTTTCCTTCAAATTAAGTGCAAAAGTCCAATTTCCGATTACGACCGTACCATAGTCCCCATGCTTGAAAAGCTGCTCTGATAAAAACAGCGTTTATGGTTCATCCTAATGGTTTTTGAACCGAGGAGCGCCGTTGGACACAGATGTACTGACAAGCATACAAGAGCGGCGAATGTTGCGAATGCAAGCAGATTTTGCCGAGTTTCAACACAGGACAGGGAGTCTTTAAAAACCTACAAGGCTGTTTTTGGCACGGCCAGCCCCGGGCAAGAATTCCCCCTCAAATGACATTTTCAGAAGTGCTTCCTGCCACGGTGAGTGATGGATATTTAGATGGTGTGGCTGGCCGTCAGTGAACGCAAAGCTCTTTCCCCGATGCCGGAGTAACGTCGCGGCCATTACGGTATCCGAGCACGGCCGATGTTTTTCACCGGATGTATTTCACTGAGAAAATAAAATTTGACCGTGGTGCCTGTAAGAGACATTTGAGCATGCAGATATTGTCTAGCGCCAGGCTGTCTGCATGGGCTTTGAACACCAGGCGGGTGTCGTCCCGCTGGCACAACGCCCACATCCTCTCCTCACAACTTCCTTGCTAGCGACTCTCGTCCCACATGTAGGCCATACACACTTTTGTTAGCGCCTGTTTGACGTACCACAGACCTGGCCAGCATACCCCAGCAGCAGAATGCTGACAACACTCACCTCCATAGAGGTAGTGTGATTGTGTCCTGCTCAGCAGGTTAGGATGCTGTGCCTGTAATTGGAAGGTTGCTGGTTCGAATCCCAGGTTCAGCAAAGTGATTTTCCCTGAGCAAGGCCCTTAACACTGGGTTGCTCCAGGGACTGTCTGACCCTAGTTTCTCAAAAAATTTACGTCACTTTGGATAAAAGCATTTGCTATGTTAATTAAATGTAAATGCATTCTAATAGCATGTTGCTTTAGGCTGCTCTATCGATTAGTCAGTGATCCGCTGTATTAGTGTTGGTTTAATCTTATTTTTTATATTTCATTAATTTTCCTTTGGGGGGAAAAAACGTCTTTCAAGGTTTCATCCGATTTTGCCCGATTTGCAAAACTTTCCTGCTGAATTAACAAATACATTTTTCTGGCTGATTGATGTCTATAAGCACGATTGCGTGACTCTTCCAGTCCATGTGTAGACAGACTCCTGCTTCTTTCCACAGCAATGCTTTGGAGTCAAGCTGGTACGCGGTATTGGGGTGTTTACGGCCTTAAAAATAGCAGTAATTGGGAGCATGCTTTAATGAAATGCTTATACCGCAAAACATGCTTCAGACTTCCTTTGATTCTTGAAACTAAACTGAGAGAGAGATTTGACAGAGAGGCTGATTTTTATTTCGTCTTTCCTGTCCGTATTTCTGATTTATTTCTGTATTTTATGATTCTTCTTTTTATAAAAGTGACAGTTGTTGGTAAGTCAGGATGCAGCTATATTGCAAAATGATTTAAGAGAGGACAACAGATGTTGGCAAAGCCTGGGACAGCGAGATGGAGGGAGGTGTTAAGTCAAGAGGAATGGCAGC